AAAAAAAAAAAAATAAAAAATAAAATAAAAATAAAAATAAGATAATTAACGCGCCGCAGATACATAAAATACATTCCTGAGAAAATAAACACACTAATAATTCAAACAATTCCAAATAAAATATGTCACATGAACGTATTCAACAAAGAGTAAAGACCCCCTAAGTACTACGAAATTGAATAACTTCCAGGAATGAATCCCAAACAATCACGTCTAAGAACAGAAGCGGCCTGATCAGGGCCAAGCATTAGAAAAGAAAAGAACGTTACAACACAAGGAACCTCGGAACCAGCCGAAAATACCCCACAAAAAAAAAAAAAAAAAAATCAGAAAGAAAGAAAACGTGATTGTCCAAAAATTCAATCCAACCAAAATCAATTCCGAAATAACATAACGAATACGCTGTGCAAATACCAATTAGAATTTTATCCAAGACACACAAATAATAATAATAATAATACAACCTAATGCATATACAAAATAACGTTTGGCCAACCGGAAAAATCAAACTATATGCAAAAATATATATAACCCTGCGAATCCCTACGTCTCAGGTTATAAGGAATATCAGCACATTGATTATGAATTCTCTCTGGAGCATCAGAGTTGCACGCCTGCAATGAAGGAAAGTTTATACGTTCAGGTACCTTTGTCAATCTATCCACATGTACTACCTGCAACTGCTGTAGGCTCGTAACTGAATTTTAAAATTCACTTTGGTGACCTGTTCGACCACTCTATATGGGCCCTTATTAAACTTTGCAAATTTCTTAGTCAATCCAGGCCGCAACAATGGAGTAAAAAGATACACCATATCCCCTATTTTAATATTTTTCGAAAAAACAACCTTGTCCCTAATTCTTTTCCTGTTTTTCAGCCGCGTCCGTTAAGTTTTTATTTACTAAAGAGAAAACCCTGCGGAGTCTTAAAATTAAATCCCTTGAATAAGTGTCTGTGTCACGATAAGTCTTAAAGTCTGTTTATGTCAATAAATCAATAGGTAAATTTAAATCTCTTCCATAAAGAAAAATGCTGGGCAGTCCAGTAATGCGCTATGCCGTCCAGTTCTGTGCGCTAAAAGTGCGAAAGGCAAATGTCTGTTCCAATCTTCCTGCGTCTCACTCACAAGGTGGCTGAGAGAATTTATTAGAGTAGCATTTAAGCGTTCAACAACGTCAGACTGCGGGTGGTAACTGGTTTTCCTAACGACGAAGCATTTTCACTCTGGAAAACAAGAGCACTGCTGCCCAGCACGGCTGTTCGCCTGGTCTTACCGCTTCGAAAATCGGGCCAAAAGTCTTAATCCTGAAAGTCTTAAATCCTTCGGTAAAACTCGTCTAACGTCGGGCAAAGTCTCTTTAAACATTTCACCCGGGTTCAATTTCGCCTTTTAGCCAAAACGCGGCCGGGGAGCATGTTTGCCGCTCCCTGTCGGAAAAACGTCTCTCTAGGCAATTACAGCTCACCTTCTATCGCTCAACCCAAGAGCAAGCTCGAAGTTACAGTCTTAGCCAAAGGTAAGTAAGTCTAGCCAGTAGGTGATTCCAAGAGTAAGTCTCGCACGAAAGTGATTCAAACTCGAATTTTCTTCGTCTCCTTCACAAAGGCGGGCTCCCACAATACTTCAATTATCGCCCCCTTAATTTGAGCAAAATTTACGTTTCAACCCCTGACTGAGCAAATAAGGGTGATCGCGCATGCGCGCCCCTCTTCAATTAGCCAACAACCGGACCCTCCGATCGCCAACCTGAATGACTTACATCGAAGGTTAAGTGGCAACCTCTGACCTTTCTGTCACGTACTTCCTGTCCTAAGGTCAACTGAACAATGAAATTTCTTCTAGAACATTCTAAAGGACAAAGCGCGCGAAATCATGACCTAGCAGAATCGCCTCCTTTTCCCTGCTTCTTTTCACAATGAATCAAAGCTTGTACAAAAATTGCAAATAAAAGAAAAATAAATAATATTCTTTGAACTAAATAATATTCTCAGAAGCATCTGTTTTTCCCCAAAATTAAAGCATTAAAATAAATAATTCAGAATCAAATAAAATTAAGATTTCCTTAAATCTGAAAATCATTCATTCACCTAGTTTTTATAACGCGATCAGACGATTCTCTACACAAGAACTGCTGCCGACTATCTCAGCGTAGAATAGGCGTCCTGGAAGGAGATACTGGACATAAATGAAATTTTTAGATATAAAGACAGATAGTATCTCGAAAACAGAGCAGTAGAATAATTAGTGAAAAATTGTTGACGTAAGTCCAGTAGGTCCTCTTTAGTAGGGCTTTGTATTACTGCATCCGTCTAAATGAACCACAATATTGTCTTACTTTGAGTCAGACGCCTAATATTGCCCTGTAGCAAATGAATTTATGTCTGTTGTCTGGCACATTTAAATGACGGATTTTATCGCATGGCGACATGTGACGTTTCATCAATTTACAGACATTCTTAACATGTAACAATTTCGGAGGTCATGGAAGTGTCTGTACATCAAGTAGGCAGTCTTGGGTAACCTGTACCAAGTGCGACTGGACATGATCCTACCGGAGTAATGCTCCAGGACTCCCGGTAAGGAATGGCAGTACGTGTGTTCGTACATTCTCATCCATATAACGCTGGATTGTCAATGTGTTACCAATTTATACTATTGTGGCCTGGCTATCGCAGGATATAGCTTCTGAGATCATAATGCCTACTGTTGGAGATACTACTGCGTCTGTTCTACGCTCCGAGAGTCGGCAGTAGTTTGTAGGCCGCCAGATGTCGCTCTTAGTAAAAAACAGGTTGACAAATGTCTTGTTTTGCACCCACTAAGTCTTTCTGCTCCGATGGGCGAAAAATCAAGCTTAGGTGCGAAGGAAAGGTATATAGAAAGGGAAGAAATTTCATATTTCAGAGAAGAGTAAAAAGGAACTTCGTACATTTTGTACGAGTTCGAAAGGCCAGGAAGAAAAGATGGGACAGAATAAAATTTAAAATAAATGGCTCAAAAATTAATAGAGGGAGAAAAAAGGCCTATAGAAAGAAAAGGAAAAGAAGTAGAAAATATCCTAAAACACGATTGTGTCCATGAGTGTAGTCAAAAGAAGAGCTGTCTTCATTTACAATAAACAGTGTCTCACAGGTGTGTGTAGTGAGTGTGTTTGGTAATGTTGAATAGATGTGATACTGGGAAAAAAGGTGAGTGTTAAGATGCTTTGTATCAAGGTTTTTAGCATGGAATACAAAGTAATATGTATGCTTGCATCCTTAGACACAACAGCAAAAGACCCATAACATCAGACAAAAGTATATATTAATTTAACTAAAGTAACTTATGCTATTTTCGTTCCCAACATTTTCATACATTTTTCAAAAAACATCAGCAGACAAAGAATATAGAACCATACACAATACAAGACCTCAGACCTCAACCGCACAAAAAAAGTATATATACTATATCTATACATATATGCATAAATTACGGAGTATATGTATTAAAAACATAAACAGAATATTTATTAATTTCACTCATAATTTATTACTAGTTAATCAATGCTAGTTTAACACATTGAGGCACACTTATTTATATAAGCTCATAATTCAAAGAATTTATTTAAGGCAATGAAGAATAATTCATCCCTTACATTTGGACATTTAACAGATAGCAAGGAACAGTATGAGAAAAAAAATCGGTGAGGTATAATATTTAAGCGATCTGAAAAAAGGGAAACAAAAAGATCGGAGAGGGAAGTAGTGCGATGCCCCAAATCCCCAATTTTCCCTCTCACGAGATTCCTCAAAAGAAGATAAGGGGGTCTTTGTAGGTGGTGACAGACGTGAACTGATAACATTGGCGTCTGTTTGGAATTGTAACCACAAAGGTAGCCACAAGCAATGAGCAATTTCGAGTATTGTTTAATGCTAAAAACTGATGAAAAATTAAAATTAATTAATTTAAAGGCACTTATTTATAGAAATTTGGTTTAGTTTAGATGCAAGAAGGGTACTTATCTCAAAATTCCAGGCTTTCGTAGTACAGGGTGTGAATCAGAAGTTTCAAGACTAGTTCATTTCTGAGCAGGGGAGCGTGCGCGGACCGGTTCCGCCAGGGGGAAAGTAGTGGGGTCTCAGGAAACGAACTGACGCTGCAGCAGTTGCCTCCGGAACCCTGGAGAGTGCGCATCGCTTGCAGCGTGAGTGCGTGTCATTGACCTGGGTCGAAAAGTGAGAGAGGTGAAAATGGAGCAGCACTTAGAGCTACGTTATGTGATTAAGATTTATAACAAGAAACTGAACTTTATAACTGAACAAAACCTCCACGGACACTCTCGGTATGATTCACGAGGCCTTTAAGGAAGAAGCCATGTCCCATGCAATGGTTTTCATAAAGCACAAACGTTTCAAAGATGGCCGCGGGAATTTTGAAGACGACGACCGCTCTGGGAGGCCATCATCAAGCTGAACGGATCAAAATGTAGAGAGAGTGCGGGAACTTTTAAACAATGACCGTCGTCTTAGTACTAGATTAATGGCCAATGAACTGGAACTCAGTCAGAGTGTGGTGTGGAAGATTGTGACGGAGAATTTGATGATGCGAAAAGTGTGTGCCAAACTGGTGCCAAAAGTTTTGTCGGTGGATTAGAAGAAACGGCGCATTCCTGTTTGCCAGAAAATGCTCCAACGGTTGAATGTTGATCCGAACCTTCTGGAGAAAGTGGTTACTGGTGATGAGATCTGGGTTTAAGAGTGCGATCCTGAGTCGAAGCGTCAAAGCTCAGAATGGCACACTGCTTCCTCGTCGAAGCCTTTTTTCATTAGTCTCATTTATTTCATTTTCATCCTGGCCTTTTTTCAGTAATTCTCTTTCAGCTGTTGGCAGATGTTTATTTTGCTCTGTATTGTTGTTTATTGCAAATTATCAGTTTTTACCTACTTGGCCACTGAAGAGATTTTTATGAACTCATAATTTGCAACATGTAACTAGGAACGATATAAAGAACACACAGATATAAAATAAATAAGAAACTTTATTTAGATATATATGTGTGAAAATATTGCAATGCGAATTTCAGATATTTTTTTCAAGAAGAAAACAGCTTATTGATGTACAATTTAATCCAATGTTTCAACAATGCATTTCATAATCAGCAATTTTTTATACATTTACAAATTTAAAATATTACATGTTACAGAATTAAATTACTTTTAATTTACATTTTAATATAGCTTACTAAAATAAAAGTCTTGACTGGTTTAAAACACATGGTATTCATACACATATTAATGTTGTTATGAAAACTACTTCACACATTTTTGCTTAGATTATTGCCTGTATTGTCAATTATTTAAATATTGTTTTAAGCAAAAAAGAACAGCTAATGTACTAGATGAATTGCAAAATTTATGAGCATTCAAGACACTGCACAATCACAAAATCGTAAAGTGTCTTGATTTAAAATAACAGTTTATGAATAAAAAATTTACAGAACTACAAATTAATCTTTATATAAAACAGCAAAATAATGGAAACTATATTCCCGAATACTGACTGAAAAAATTCTTAAGAGTTAACAGATGTCTTTCTGAATTTTTAGCATGAAAACTTTATAAAAAAAAAACAAATTAAATTATATTTATTTTACTAAGGTTCCTGTGAAAATACAAAAAATCTCACTTTTTTATTAAAAATTTTAAAAACAAGATGATGGTTAACTTAGGTTAGCAGAGATAAAAATTTGAATGGAAGATACAATGAAAGTATCTTACAGAAGAATGGCTGACAGCAAAAAGTTTTCAAATGCCCCTCTCTCAGAGTACATATTTTAATATTAGAGGAAGGGAACTTTCATATTAAATGAAAAAATTAATGTTTAATCCAATATTAAAATAGTCCGAGATTTTATAGACAGACAATGCAAAAATTCATGAAATTAACTTTTATAATTATCATTTATACAATGCAAATATTAGCTTTGACACTTATTCTATATTTTAAATGAATACTTTTTAATACCTACTGAATCTTTTATGCAAACTGAAAAAAGAAGTAAAATAACATACTAAGCTGCATGGTATTTTTTTTTTTTTTTTTTTACATATTAAACTTATTACATTTTTTAATGTACCAGTGACTAAGTGAACAGTCACTAAATATTGGTAGTTCATCTGAACAAGAACAAGGGGTTTCCCACAAGTGTAATGTGATTATGAACTCATTTTTCCTCGAAAATTTTCTACAAAGGCACCTTTCCTAAGGCAGACAGTCTTTGCATATGCTTTACCAGAAAATAATCTGATCTAACCTCATTGGGAAATTAAATTTAGTGTCTTAGAATAATTTTTGTTAACACACTATAAAGTACTAGAAAGACAAGACAGCAAACAGTTAATAAGATAGCCTATATTTCGATATTATCATTCAAAGAGTTCCATAAAAACTTTTTAACAAAACTTAAAAAAAAAAAAAAAAAAAAAAAAAAAACCTACTACATACATTAACATACCTTAATATATATAAGGAAATTTATTTCAATATATCATTTTACTATTTTTCTTGATAGATCATAAAAATAACTTTCTAGCCAAGCTTTAAAATAATCCTTCCCTTTCTCTTTACCAGAAAAGACTACTTATACATGTATTAACTATTAACCATGAATCTATCTTCAAAACAAAATCACCTCCTAACGAAGTACTAAAATCTTAGTTAAACACTTCATTAGTTAAGTGATACTTTCTTAAGCTATCAGTAAAAAGATATGCTTGAAATGCCACAATTAATGAATTTTGAATTACCAAGAATATTAGGTATTTAATTTCTTTGCATTTTCTTATGAATATGTTTCTACAGTGAAACTGATCTCCTGTATTTTCATAAAATATTTAACACATAGTAACAAGCATGTTATAAATTTTGTCATCTTAAATAGAAACATAATATTTACTATTAACACTTTTTGCACACAAATGCTGACAATGTATTAATAAGTATTCAAATGGAATTTAATCTAAATCAAAATGATTCATGAGAAATTAATTTTATAAGTTAACATAAAAGTGTAATAATGAAAATTTTAAAGTAAATATTAAAATTGAATTGTTGAAAGTTAGGCAACAGTTGATATAAGTTTTAATCTTCAATCTAATAATCATATTCAGAATTTAATACCAATATAAATATATACTGGTTTAAACATTACTATGCACATACGTCATATTTGGATTGTATAAATTCCATATCATCATTAAATCATAATAATGCATTAAATTAGGGGGGAAAATCTTAAATATATTCTATAAATAATGAACATTTGGTTCTCTATTAATACATTAATACTCATAGTTATTTTGACATTAGTAAAAAATATTTCAGAAGTTTAACTTTTATTTTCACTAAATGTGTTAAAAAAGTAAGATTTTTTTACTAATGTTTTATTAGAAACCCTCAGCTTTCTGACTGTGTCTAAGCAATTTACTTTGGCACATTTTATTTTATCAATTACTTTTTTTTTAAATTATGAATACAAACTTAGACAATAATAAACAATAAATTCAACAACAGTGAACATTCCAAAACATCCAGCTGATACTGAATTTTAAAAATTGTAAGAAAAAGGTAAAAGAAAGCGTTATGACTAGACCAATTCTACAGAATATAAAAGCATGTACAAGTTACTATGATTAGCATTGCTAATTAAATACAACAAATACTTTCTGCCCTTTTTGATTAACATAATAGAAAAACTTAAAAATCAAACGGTAATTAAACAAAAGAAAAAAAATCATTCATTATACACATCTTCAAAAATAACATAAAAATCAACAAATATAATTTATTCCTGATTTTCTAATACATAGACGGAAAATAATAAAGAGTCTGATGGACAAATACCAATCTATAATACATGCATAAATAAACTAAATTTCAATGAACATATCATTTTGTAAACTACAATTTTAACCATATGCTACTTTTATATGAACAGAGTGAAATGTTAACAGAAATTAAAAACGATGCAAATTGTGCAAAAATACATAAATTAAAATTGTGTATGTAAGTACATTTAAATAAATGAAATGAAAGCATGCTTAAAATGCATTCTGATCTAATGAAATATACTGTATAACACAACCATAAAATACACTAATTTACTAATTTGACCTTATTTTAAGGGCCCAGTTTACTACATATTTTTTGTATATGAAAATATCACTATATAATAAAGTTTCAGAAATATACACACTTTTGATTACTAAAAAATATAAATGCTCTTTTGATTAGAAGAAAATGCTGCAGGTTTCCCTAATAATTGATAATTATTCCACAACAACCAAAAAAGTAGAAGCATTAATGGATGCTAATTAAACTAGTATTACATAGTAAAATTATGACCAAGGAAGAGCAACAAATTTTTGTGTGTGTGCACAAATACATGGGCGTCCCACACACACATCTAAATGCACATTTAATCGGAAAATATATAAGAAATTAGTATTTATTTTAAGAAATCTTTCATTTTAACACACTTGACTGTCACCATATAAAAAAAGTTGTTGTTTTTTGCCACAATTACTTTTTTGATTAATATATAACTAAAATTCCCTAATGTCATAAAATATGCAATGCTACCTTGGTATATGTCCACTCTGAAATATGCCCAATTTGGCATATGCTCTGTGTGAACATGAAATTTTTTGTTTGGTATACAATATTTATTTGAAATACGACTTTAATTTGAAAAGTGACTATGCACACTACCCTTATTTACCTCTTTCAAGATAATGCTACAACTGCCCATGAGCATCAGTATGCTTATTGCTACTATTCGGTAAGCAACCCATGCTAGAACTCTGAATTTTAATGTAATTTTGTGATTTCTCGCACAATTTTTTTGCAAACGTGTTAACTATGAGTTTTTAGAATGTTACTGAGATGAGTGAAGCTATGAAGAAAATGGTTAGAATTCCATCACCATGGAGGTGGAGAAACAGATTCTTGAAAAATAAGATGGTGATCTGCATATCTGAAATATAGCTATAGTATTACTGTATGCCAAGAATGAAGATATCTATAACTGTAAAAAGACACTACTAAATTAACACTGCAAAGGGGATGAAATCAATTACCAAATATAGATCAGGGATAGTACAGCATGCCGAGAAACTGCTTTTGATCTGGATAACAGAAAATCATTTACATACAGTATCATACACAATATTTCATTCAAATACAGTATATATTTCACCCACTGCTTTTGTATTTTAGTATTAAACACCGTTATAAAAATAAATAGGATTTTGAAATAAGAACAGATTAATTATTTTCTCTTTATTTCTTATTAGAAAACTTCGGCATAGGTCCAGTTGGGACATACAGTATCATATTGAATATTTCATTCACATACGTTATATATTTCACCCACTGCTTCTGTATTTTAGTATCAAATAGTGTTATACAAATAGGATTATTTAATAAGAACAGATTAATTATTTTCTCTTTATTTCTTATTAGAAAAACTTTGTTTGGTATACATCCTCCAGCTGGGCATAATTCCAAGGACCTACAATAGATTAATGGCGTATACTTCAGTATTATTGCATTCATAAAACATAATATTAAATCCATTTTTAGATCATAATTAGTTTGCATTCACTTGAATACATACTATTCATTCAGATATAAAATTTATTTCTGTTCATCAAAGTTTATCACTAAAACTATTAATTCATTCCATTATACATAGAACTGCTGCCCAACCAGTATAGTGGTTAGCATCGTTGACTGCCGTGCTGAAAAGCCCAGGTTTGAATCCTGGAGGAGGTATGGATGTTTGTAAATGTATATTGTCAGTGCAGTTTGGCGGCTTTCTAAATATGCGGCGAGCCGAAAGTCCTGTTGTGTGATTTGGTGGAAGAAGAGAGGGGTGAGAGACACTCGGACCAGTACCCTCAGGATGCTCTCCATCAAAATTCGGGGCGGAACTGAGCTAAATCGCACTATCACCTGAATGGTGCTTCAAGGCTGTTGCCAATGCAGGCTATTCTAGCACTCCTCGTCATGAGGAATTTCTTGGGCTTCAGCTGACTATATGCCAGACAAGTGAGCATAAGCAACAACAACATACATAGAACTTGTTTCCTTTAGAATATATGTAGCCAAAGCAAAATACATGTATCTAAACTAAAACAGGGTTATTATATGCGCATTTGATACAATTAAGTGCTTAATGTGTTCAACATTATAGTTTAAAATTCATTTGCCTAATAAAAAATTCTTTGCTTTCTTTTAAAATTATATCTCTAGTCTTTTATGTTTTCAAGTTTTACAATTTAATTTTGCAGATGGCTGTCAAGCACACTACTTCACGAAATTAATACAAATGAGCTGTATTTCATATTTCAAGGAACTGTTGTTAAAAAAAAAAAAAGTTACGGATCATATGATTAACAGCATAAGAACAAGTTTTGCTAACTTTGAACGATATCAAATGATAGCCCTTGCTAATTTGTCTAGTTTATTTGAGTTCTACAGGATTTTAACAATTCTGATACTTTTAAAGTATTTATGAGATAGTATTATCTTTTATCTTGGTTGAATATCAGATCATGTACCTAGTCATGACTTTTTGAGAAGTAACATTTAATTATTTTGCATTGTGTGCTGAATTAGGTTATACCTTGTAAAGATGTTCTAGTATCAATAATTAGTAATTAAAAATTAAAAAAAAAATAATTCCACAGAATAAAAAATCCTGTTTTTGCGCATAACTAGTAGTTGTATTATCAGAGTACTACCGCACAAAAACAGGTTTGAGTGTATACATTAACACAAAATAACACTTGTATCTATTCCTTTAATATAACTTTCATCAGCATTTATATCTAAATCATATCATATAATTAAAAATAAGTAAAACATGATCCTCCTCCCAAAAGGTTTCTTTTTAAAATACATTTAATTAATTAAATTTTGTTGCAGGAATATATAGAACAAAAATAATTAGAAGGCTTCTGCAAACTTCAAAATAAAACAAATTATGCACATATTTGTGAAATAGTTTACGCCCTTAAGTATTTTCCGTTGAGAGATTTTGCATTAAGGTATGAATATCTGATAATAACAATAATAAAATTAATTTTTATACAGAGATTTTAGTACACACACTATTTTACTGACAATATACACACTGCACTTATGCAAATATTTACTTCTTTTTTTAAATTATTTTCTAACAGAACAATGCACAACCTTTTTGTAAGTGCAACCTTACTCAAGAATTGCTTTATTTCAGAGACATTATGCCAGGCAACCATTTAAATAAACTAAATAAAACAAACTTATAATTAAATACTTAATTCAATATACAGTTTTTAAATATATTAAAGGCTACTTATTTCAGTTATATCTACAAATAAAAAAAAAAAAAACTTCACTTAGGCAGAAACAGTATCTAAAACACAATAAACACTGAAAGTAAATAAAACCAGATTTTGCAGAGAAAAAATCTATACCAAAATAACTAATATATTGTGTATAAACATTTTTAATTACAACAATGATTAAATGTTCATAAAAATTATTGGTATTTACATATTATCCTGTCAACTATGAAACTTGTAAAGCCGTGCAAGTTAGTGCCTGTTATGGATAAGGGTGACATAACCACAAACTCAAGAACATGTGCTTCTGTTTGATGCAACCTGAGTGATTCTTTATAAGCCATACTGTATTTTTATGAATAAGGATATAAAGCAATTGTTACTGCTGTATTTTTTCATGCATTTTGAAAAAAAAAAAAAAAAAAATTGAGACCTGCTTTCTGTACAAAGTTAAGCAGTGGATTATTTTCAAAGTTATGGGATCCTATCATCAAGGAAGTGTGTATTAATAAATATGACATGGTTAGCTGAACATGGCCAACAAAACAGTAATATATTAGAAAAATAACCTGCAGCAAGTTTGTACTCTTAGCATTCTAAACAGATAAACAGAGCTTTTGATAAAAGTGGATAGCCTAAAAAAATACTAGAAACTAATAAGTGTTTTTACAAAATGCAAAACTGAAGCAGGTTGAATATTGATTGCTTATTAAATAAAGAAGGGGTCAGTATTTTGAGAATTTTGCAGGAATGACTAGCGTAACTTTGACAGAATCTCCATTAAGTTTCATGGTTGATGAAATAATATTTAAGTACCAAATTATTAGTTGGATATTTTAAATTATATCCAAATACAATATCAGAAATAAAATATAGGTTTCAATTATTAAGTTCATTTATTTCTTTGAACATATTCAGTTTGTTATGTAATTACAGACTGATTTCATTTGAAAGAGACTACAGTTTGATAAACAAAACAATTTTCAGAAAAGATTATAAAGCCAATTCAAGACAATTCAAATTGCTACGCTTCACACAATGGCAATACTTGCTAAGATACATGTATGATAAATGCATGGTAGCATCATGTAAAAATTATTTATTATGTCAAAATTCACACTTATTATGTAAAAATTATTACAAGAAAATTTGGTAAACCTTTAATAAATAGTTAGGATTCAAACAAAAGGGTCATGACAACAAGGTGCACATTTCTCTTCTAACATATTCACATATTAAAATAGCAATGTATGACAGCTATAAAAATTTTACAGATTATCATTTAACAATGTCACACCGGTATCCTTGAAATACTCTTCTTTCAAACTCAAGAACATTTTTTAAAATAAGTTTTAGAAAACCAATTAACAAGATAAATTATATGATAATCAAATAGAACAGTTTGGGAAAGGACATCACGATAGACTTTAAACTTTAGCTTTGTAGTTTAATGCAATTCTGTAGTAATGAAGTAAAATGAGAGGTAATATTTTTAATGATTTCCTTATACAAAAAAGGGATTCCAGCTTAATTGTTATAAATCATGTAATTTCTATTGGATATATTTTCCATCAAAATTTATATTATTTTTTGAGACAAATTATGATTACCAGTCCAAAAATTTTGAACATACTATTTGTTAAAGTATAATGAAATGATATATTTAAAATTCTAATACAACATTTTAGCCATGAACTTATTTTAATTCTTTCATGCATCCTTTCTAGAAATAACAGAATAAAGACGCATACTGGCCTTTTGTTTTAAAACTTGAACCACAGAAGAAAACAGTGCATGTTTTAGAAATGGTACCTACGCCATTGTAAACACAAACCAGTTTAACCAGCTCAAGATAGCTCGTAACTACACTATGTAACATTTATTTCTCATCCAAAAAAGGTTTAAAAAGTGTCTGATGAAAGTATCTTTCCCCGTAGTCAGTTAGCCAGCAAGCGCTTTAGCATAAAGGTTAAATGCGATCTAATCAAAATGGGGAATATAACTTTACAGAAAACAATTTAGGAAATATACAAAAAGCAAAGTAAGTCTTGTAATGCAGTACAGCATATCATATTTCAGTAAAGTAACTTTATTACAAAACTGTAGTATGTCATAGTTAATAAAGACTTTTGGCAGGCAAATAGTCGTTTTTTTATGTGTATCAACATTTTACACATGTTTCTAGTACCACAATTACATGACTATTATCATAAATTTTCAAGCAGAACACCTCCTTATTACTTAGTAGATGTAAAACAGTACATCAAAACCCATTTTCCAGCCAAAAAGGACACTTGCACCATGAACAATGAACATTCTCCAAATTAAAACTACTACATTTTTTTTTGAAAGGCCTTTTTAAATGAATGAGTGCATAATACTATCTATATCTATACTTGTAAATATGTCGCAATCAGAATCACTGCCACCACTCACGACATTATACTAGATATCATCTGCTGCACGTTACAGAAAACTGATAACTGGAGACAATCATACTAAACTTCATCTATCCACATTGATACTAAAAATGCTAATCCGTAATTGTATATTAATATTGTTTATTTATGCAATAGTTACTTAATTTTTTTAGGAGTCTTGAAAATTTGTAGAACCTTTTTTGAACTAATAAAATGATCAATATCTAGTATTTATATCACAAGTCAAGAAAATATGTTTTTTTTTCAAACATTTATTCAACACTGAATGCCTAGACAGACAGATGCCAAACATGGATAAATTATTAAAATGCACAAAACAATTCAAACATGCCCCCTCATTTTAAACATGACTTCTCTTTTTGCATGTGTGTGTATGAACATATACTCTCCTAATACTTAACAATGAAGTGACTTTTTTAACTTGATATATAAAGTGATCAATTATTTTAATGCATATTTTGATCTTAAAATACGCAGGGAATTAAAACGAGCAAGGTTGAATCTTAAGTTTAAAAATTAGACAATATTTGTTAAATTTTGTGATTATTGATCTGCAATTTCTTTTAAACAACAACAGATTTCTGAGAAAAATTCTACACAATTTTATTATTCCAATAAAATTTATAATAAAGCAAACTTTTTAGTAAGTATCAGTTAAAAACCAACCATAAGGATGGCGATATTATTTTATTGGTATCAAAAATCACAGATTTAATTTTAACTTCATTTTCTACTACTAAATTGCAAAAAAGTCAACATAACTGTATTAAACTTTATATATACTTTTAACACATTTTTATACTTATCAGATGATATATTATAAGTTTACCATACTACACTGCCTCGGCAGTAGGGACGTAATTATTACACAGCATAATTCCATGATAATTCTAATGCATAACAATCTCAAGCTGTCACCGGAATGTAATTACCAGCATTTAGTGATTTTAACCCCAATAACTGATCATATTCAATGAAAAATATCATATTTTAAGAAGTGAAAATAATACAGAATGAGCACATTTTACATCAGCACACAATAACAAGAATATCTTGAAGTTAACAGTTACACATCTAAGCATGAAACTTTGAGCAGAAAAGGATTACTTAACATTAAAATGCTCATTTTATTATTGCAATAAAAATTATATAAAAGCATTGGCAACTCCATTTTTACATTTTAATGATGAATTACATCAATTCATCAGCTATCTTCAATAATTATTATGAACATTCAAATAATTTCATGATCATAGGGCCAAATGTACACTTATATAACATTTTCTGGTAAAAAATGTAATTAAATTTCTCATCTTGTCTTATAGAAAATGCATTTAAATAAGCTTTAAAGTATCACATTTAAATGTGGAAGTTATTAGTAAAATAATCTGCAGTAAAGAACCATTAAAAAATTAAACACAGAAATTATGTACACAGCTGCATCATAAAATACACAAAAATTTATAAAATAAATATAAAGATTATGCACTGAGGTTCATTGCAATCACAAACCCGTTTCTTGGATTTCTTTCAACTCTTCCATTCTAGCTTGAATCCATGATTTTCTTTCCTGGTACCTACAATTTAATTTAAAATTAATATAAAATTTTTCTTACAAACTATTCCAAATGAACATTCTCATGGTGATCGCAGGTGAAAGTGACCAATGTTTTGAGGATCTAAACAAACATGGACATAAAACGTAATTTCTCTTAAGATCTTCACAGCAGACCAAAAACTAGTCTTAAACTCTGGGGTGATTGTCTTAAAATGGATTTCCTGTATTACATAGTATGTATCTAATATGCTTGGAGGAACTAATTTATCTAATATTTGATGAAATTGAATGGCATAATTGATTTTACAGAAGTAATTAGGTATTCAGTTAACACTTTTAATGACATATTATTTAATACTTTTCAAATTAATTACTACTTATTTCTATAGAAAATGGATTAGTCTTGGTATATTATTTTGGTATTAACATCCCCCTTTTTTTCCATTATCTATACAATGAAATAAGAAGGCTATGGTGCTAATAGAAAGCTATTTCTATTGCTGACTAAAAATATGAATTACATTGAATGAAAATAAATAATTAAGGGATGAAATAAGCAAGTATGGAAATAGGCAATGAATATATTTAATATATAAAAAGATTCATTTAAGTACTGTACTATGTTTCCACATGCATATTTTTATAACAATGCACCTTTCTTTTGGGACCTAAAATGCAATTAAATTTTTTAAATGTATCACGCAAGAGTTTAAAATACAAAAGGTTTGCTTTGCAGTTTCTGGTTGAGTTAAAAAGTATGTTTCCTTTTTATCCCAAAGAAGCATTTTAGCTCAGAAGGGCTATTAATTTCATTTTGGCATTTTGTGTTGAAATGCCAGTTCATTTTCAAATTGTTGTCACCAAATATTAGAGTCCTGCATTATATTTAAAGATATTAAATGCTGAAGAATCTGCATAAATTTATATATGTTCCTCACACGGTGATAAAACAATACCTAGAGCCATCAAAGTTTGAATAACATACATTTCCACCCGAATATGGGCACCTGGAAGGCCAAATTGAAATTTGTTTCATTATCGATTTCATATTTTGTAAAACTTTAACGGATTTTTGATTAACAAACGCAATGATTTCAAAGTAAGCAATGGCAAAAAAATTGTAAAATTGAAAAAAAAATTTTTTATCTCCAGCGTGCGAGTCTGCGTATCCGAAATTTTAAAGATATACTCATTTTAAAATTGTTTTGCAATATTGCTGTTAAACTGAATTTATCGTTTAAGAGCGAAGAACATGATATTTAAAAAGGTAACACACAAAATATGAAAAAAATGTTCTATTGGGCTTAATGTAAAATCTGAAAGCTTTTAGATTTTTATTTTTTTTAAATACATATTTAATACAGTACAGAATAATTCGCATTTATGATGGCCTTATCCCTAAAATGACACAGCTTTATCCAGCACAGAAATAAAAGGCAAACAAATAAAGTAAAAAATATGAATCTAAACCCTGGACCAATTCCTTTTTATCTTTGTTCACCAATTTACTTGTTTTATTTTAGTTTTTGGTGCCTAATTTTTGCTCTCTTCAATAATTACGCAATGAGAACTAAATACAAAATTAGCTTTAGCATGCGGCTTCATCAGCCCCGAATGTCCCTGCAGCTACTAACAAAACCCTACACTGCCATTTGCAAGCATTATAAAAAGCTAATTTAGGAAAATTTGGATAGAGCCGTTCATGCAGTTTTGAACGATTCAGTGTTAGCTTTAAAATAGTTAGCTGTGATGCCTCTCTTCTGTACTAAATATCTATGTTAAGATGTCCTCTCACGTATAATCAGAAAACTCAAGACTATGTGCTCCTGTGTGAGATCTGTCCAGTGAAACAAAAATTTCTCCATCTACAAAATTAGACTCAGCTTCTTCTTGGTTATGCTCATAAACATTAACATACCTTCTATGATTGCAAAAATATGAATGTTATCCTTCACTAATGTATTTACTGTTGAAATTGAAATAAATTGAATATTTGAAAGAAGATAAGTGGCATTTACTAACAGTTAGCTTTATGTTGATTTTTTTTTTTTTTATGTCTCATTTTGTCACATACTTGGTCAGTCTAGAGATTTAGTTATTAGCAGGTATATTTTATGTCAAATGGCATAGGTTAAAATGAGAAGTAAGATCATAATCAGCATCATTCATAAAAAAAGACTGAATATTGTAACCACTGCTGCTTATCTAGAGAGAGACCTGCTGATTAGAACAAACCCGAAAGGCCTGATGTAGGCCCGGTTGGCAAGTGTTGAAAGTTAGTCAGGCTCTGTTTGATGCAGTTAGTGTCGTAGCCTTGTGTTGAGTTCCAGGGGTTATAACCCAGTTAATATACTTTATGGTTCCAATAAGATATTAAAGCACGAGAGGTGATAAGTTGTTTTGTATTATTTTAAGTTTCACTAGATGCAAAGAATACGTTTTACTTGAATTTTTACATTTTTGTGTTTTATCTTGTAACTACAGTGAGTATTAATGAAAGGCAATAACTCGCTTTAGTATGCAGAGATAATTTTTAAGGGTAAGCAGTTAGTTATAAATAATTAAAATAATTAAATTGGGTACTTTGATAACCTTAGTCATTATGGATTTACATGGCCACTATTAAATTTTATTTTAACAATATTTTTAAAAAAGCTCTATTAAAATCGAAATCTAATAAAATTTCACAGTTTAAAATACATATAATCTATGACATTGATTTATAAGCAATATTAGGATAATTACAGATTAAAAGCTACAAAACATTTATGTTTTGTAACAACAACACTCAACAAAATATATATCCGTCATTTTAATTTGAAGCCTTCCCAAACATTTTGGCTACTATATATCAATTTCCTTCTCTTTAAGCATTTTTTCTAACAATTAAGAGATTTGTCTCAATATGCAAACCAACGCTCTCGCTAGTTTCTGCGTGCTTTATCTCCAAACTTGTCAACCTCTCCATAATGTACCTATGAGGGTTTACTTGACCTGGTAAAAGTTAAATAGTTCAAAACCCCTAAGAGACGTGAAGCATATTATCGATATGTTTGAAAGTAACTACAATATCAGACGAAAGTTTAAAAAAGAACTTAGAACATAAAGGCATGTTCTGATGCTAACAAAATCAATTACAGCTAATGGTGACGTAATTAAACAAGAACAATCAAACTCAAACTAAAAATGTGGACTAGTGGTCAAAGATTATACAATTTAATTTAAATTTAATCTGGCTCAGTAACTGTACCATATGAGGAAATAGAAATGGGAAATTATAGTAAAGGCTAAAATTATAAACAATTGGGTAATTTACATAATATTATAATATATATTTATAACTTTTGCACATATCTTTGAAGAATAATTTTCTTTATATTCAGTTTCCTTCTTCAACATGTTTCCTTTTCATTTTTGGATTTAATTAAGGATTTCTGTTATTCTAAAAAACACTAAATGCATTTAGAATACATATAAAAAGCAGCTAATTTTATTTTATTAGTAATATGAACATTCAACCGAACGACAAAATCCAGAAATCGCACATCGAACAATAAAATCTAGAAATGGCAAAACTTTTAGAATTTATAGCAGGCATTGAAAGCAGAATTTAGAAAGACAATAGGCAGCAGAATTTAGGATCTACAGAGATTGCATCATCTTTTAAATTGTAAGTTTTCAATTTCCTTATTAATAAAAAAATCCCTTTCTATGATGCCTGCCCATGTTATAAGATCAGAAGCATTTTTGATATTTTCCATGCTTGTGTCTAGTGAAAAGTAAAGAAAATAAAGGGAAGCTATACATGTTAAGAAAAAGATTCTAGTATCAGAAGTAAAACATTCAAATATGTTTTCATTGTTCTTCCAGACGTTTTGAAAGACAAAGAAATTCATTGCAAACTTTCTGTAAAATACATCCATTACGTGTTGATACCATGGAGACCTTTTTCACTTTGTCACATATTTCTCGAATCTTCTAGAATCGTGGGTCTATGAATCTTGCCTTCAAATCCTTCTAAATTTTCCAAGCTGCAATGTCTAAAATCCTAAAGAAAAATTATTCCTACTAATTCTGTAACAGCAAAAAGCCAGAAATATTTGGGGGAGGGGGGAAGGGGGAAGAGTAAAATTAATTTTACTAAGAAAACTGATGCATATTTCTGAGACAATTACATGGGAAAAACTCTTACTATGAAAAAATTAAGAAGACATTTTTAATTAATTACATAGCTAATTTTGCTTTCGCTAAGAGCTGTTTCATAAATTGTGCTTTATAGCATTATACCTTGTTTATTTTTCAGTTTCAAAATATTGTATAATAAGTTGCCAAAATAAAACTTATAATATGACAGCAAAAATAAAAAATGTTTTATTTAATGTTATTTTTAAATAATTTCAATATTACCATTATTTATGAAATTTATCAAGCTAAGATTTTTCAAAAAAATCGTCGGAAAAATTCAGATCTCAGAATTAAAAATTTTCTATAGAAACTGATCTGAAAATCGCCAAATTTAGAGCCGTTTAATAAAAACTCCAAAAGCTCTTTATTAAAAAAAAAAAAAAAAAAAAAAAAAAAAAAAAAAAGATTTTCGAAATGCTATGCTTCCTAACTTGAGTACCCATCGTTTATATTAGAAATAAAACCAAATTATAACCCATGAACCCATACAAAAGATAAACTATATATGTCAGTGAATTGCTAAAAATATTCTGCCAAAATGCTAATTCACGCTCAAAACGGCAGTTATAAAACAGACAGAAATTTCAGATGATTAAAATTAAGGACCTTCTGCTGATTTTGGCCAAAATTAAGGACTTTTCAGGACCAAAAATCGATTCCAAAAAATCTAAGGCCTTTTAAGGACTCTTAAGGACCATACGAACCCTGTTTCAAAACATATTTGTGATTTAAACTACACAAAACCTTTGACATATCTATCATATAACTTGTTTTGAAAACTATTGCATGAAGAAAATATGTAAGTAGGTAATAAAAGCTTACTTCTTCACAATTCTCTGAGTTTCTTTTTTCTCTTCTTCACTAAATTTGTGAAGAAACATCCTAAGCTCTGTTTCTGAAAACTTAAGATATTGTGCTACCTGAAATAAATTTTTGCATATAGATCAGAACAGTGCCTAATATTAATAATTACTAAACAAATTTATTAACAGGCTTAGCAATTCAAAATACAAACCTCACAAGTTATTTCTCTAGCCTGATTTTTGTTCATGATAAATACTTTAGCAACATCTTCACTAGGGCCTAACATTACTCGGACTAAAAGAGGATATTCATGATCCTGAATGCAGCGGCGTTCTGAAAGTAAAAATGGTATTGAAACACAGTGTGAAAATTTCATTGGAAAGTAATAGAGATAAGCTTTACTTAATGCTTGATGCAAAGCTTAATCTAATAAAATTAAAGCCCCTTAAAGCATCACAAAATTCTTGCAAAAATATATAAGAATTTAGAGCTAAAACTGGGCCGTGCAGTTGTGTATAGGTATATCTTGATGATTTTGTAGGTTTAGTTTCATACCACCATAGTATATCATCATGAATTTTTCTGGTTTCCAGCACATTCTAAAAGTAATATTTACATCATAATAAAAGACCAACAAAAATGTTTACCATAATTATGCAGATTTTATTTTCCTCGCCTTTTCTGTTTCAAAATAGCTACAGAACAACATAATGAAAAATCAAGAATTACACTTCAACAATAATACTAAATATATTATTAGTTTCAGATTCCATCCCCTTTATACCTTTGTATGAAGCATTGTAATCAAGAAAAATTCTGGGTATCATATTTCACCGAAAATATCCATTTTGACTGCTATCGAATGCAATTTAACAATGACATCTGTATGTAAGGATAGAATAAAGGACTCTTCCCCCCCCAAACAAATTGTAAAACTGATTTAAAATGGATTCAGAAGAGATTTTTTTCATGGTATCTGTACGTGTGTTTCTCGCATAACTCAAAACCAACTAGCCTCAGAACGTTAAAAGTTTGTACATAGGACTGCTATAAAATGTACTTATGCACCTTCCTTTTTAAGAAATAATATAGAAAATTTGTACATTGCTCATAAAAAAGGGGGGACATTTCTATATCTCCCATTCTACTGGGCCGATAGACAGAATTCAATTTGCATTTTTCACATCTCGAAAGCGCAACTTAGGATATGTATTAGATTCATATACAGTCAAAAGTATTTCATTTGGATCCGTCGGGACTTCGGTGATTCCGGATTATCGATTTTTCCGGATTATAGATCATCAGTTTAAATCTGGAAGATAAATGCAGAAATTATAAAATTAAAAATATTAAACTGTAATTTATGAAATAAAGAGCAATTACGATTTAAAGGGTATCAAAATTTACAAAAATAGCTTAACATTCATTTGATCACTTTATTAAACATTTCTTTCAACGCGCACATGCGTAAAGCATACATTACGCATAGTCGAAATTAGAAAATTGCAACCAGAAAACTATTTGATGTGTATTCGTGATATTTATAATGACAAGGAATTTGATTTAAATCATATCAGAGTACAACGAGATGAAATACTACATTTAGTAAGGAATTATAAGCCGAATAAAATAAAAACATCTGCCCTGAAGATGAGGATAGTGCTGACAGATCAACTTCCAATTCATTGCGCTCCGTGACGATCCCTCCCCCCTCCTGCAGGGTTAGAGAAACAAAGGATATGCCTTTATCCATTTTATTAAACATTTCTTTCAACGCGCACATGCGTAACGTATACATTACGCATAGTCGAAATTAGAAAATTGCAACCAGAAAACTATTTGATGTGTATTCGTGATATTTATAATGACAAGGAATTTGATATAAATCATATTAGAGTACAACGAGATGAAATACTGCATTTAGTAAGGAATTATAAGCCGAATTAAAAAAAAAATATCTTCCCTGAAGAAGAGGATAGTGCTGACAGATCAACTTCCAGTTCAATGCGCGTCGTGACGATCCCCACTCTCCGCAGGGTTAGAGAAACAAAGGATATGCCTTTATCCATTTTTGAAGCAATTCCACTTTTTGTTTGATGGACATCGAAACATGCTTTTGCTTTGTAGATCCTTTGATAGCTCCAGAATCGGAAACTCTTTTTGACACAATTGAAAGTTCAAGCTTACTTTTTATAAAATTGCTCTAACAGTCTGCAAAAAATAATATGTTGGATCCAATTAGAAGATTAAGGAACAATGCAATCTGCAACATTAACTGAAATAGATAATTAGATAATTTTTAGCCTAGCTTATACCATCCGTTATACATTAAACGCGCATGCGTAAAGGTATTATGCAAATGTGTAAAGGTATTATGTGCATACGTAATATTTTGGGTCTAAGCTAAAGCTTAACCAGGTACACTGCAGGGAAAAGGAAAAAAAAGGGGGAGACAGTTATCTATCTCCCAATCTACTGGGCCGATTACGATATTCAAATTGCGTTTTTCATGTCTCAAAAGAGCAACTTAGGATATATATTAGATTTATATACAGCATTGTTCTAATACGGGTATTTTGAGATAAAATTGGACTTTTTCTGAAATGACATGCCAATTTTTTTCCCCATATTTCCATTCTACAGCTCAAATTACGCCAAACTGCCAAGCTTTGTAAAAAAGTAACCCGGACATCCGGACGTCCATTATCTGGAATGATCTATAATCCGGACCTCAAAGCCACAAACTTTGCGCATGTGCGTAAAGAATGCGCATACATTATGCGCGTATGCTTTACGCAAGTGCACGTTGAAAGAAATGTTTAATAAAGTAAACAAATAAATAGTAAGCTTTTTTTTTGTAAAATTTGACCCTTTAATCATAATTGCTCTTTATTTCATAAATTATGGTTTCATATTTTTAACTGTATAATTTCTGCATGCCATCTTACCAGATTTAAATTGATGATCTATAAAACCCTAATCTGGAATCGCCGAAGTCCCGTCGAGTCCGAATTACAGACTTGCACTGTAGTAATTTTAAAAAAGTTTTTAAAGTTGAAGAATAGTTTTTAAAAAAATTAGCTGTCAAAATTTTAGCTCTTCCATGTTAATTGAATTAGTTATATATTTATTAATATTTTTTTTATTACACTTACTTGATTCTTTCTTCCAGAATTTGAAATTTAGGCTAATCCAAATATAATTCACACATTTTTATGATTTATTTTTAAATATTTTTTTATAAATTTTTTGAGAAAAAATTTAAATTATAACCTATAAAATTTTTACCATCATCTGAAAGTAGATTTATTTTTAAGCATACCTGCAAAAAAATTAGAGTTTTTTATTCAAAATTTTCAAACATAACATGAGTACATGAGTTTACATTTTGAAACATTTTGAAATTTGGCGTATTCATAAGTGATAATAACAAAAAAGTGACTTACACACTTTATTAAAAATTATTTAAAAAGTATGAACAATGACTTTTTTTCCTGCTCATCTACAATGAAAAAAATGAAAATGAAAATAGGTTGCTATAAATTAAGAAGTTTGCCAAGTAAATTATTGTTGGCAAAAACTGAAAAAAATTATGGCAAGATAAATTTTTGAATTTCTCCGTAAATTTCACACCAAATTTTACAAAATTTAATATTTAAGTATGATTTGAGTCATAGAATCGAAATATTGAAAAAACTGGCATGTAATTTCAGAAAAAGATCTAATTTTGCATAAAAATACCTATGTTAGAATGCTGCTATATATAAATCTAATACATATCCTAAGTCGTGTTTTCGAGACATGAAAATCACAATTTGAATTTCGTAAATTGGCCCAGTAGAACGAAAGGTATAGAACTGACCCTCTTTTTTGTGCGGTGTACATGTTAATTTGTATTTCATATTTTAATTTGACTGGAACATTTGTTCCAAATTTCACGCAAGTAGTCGAATGTTGAGTTTCTGTTATTGCAATCAGTTGTGTAACTATCAGGTTAGCATGTTAATAAACAGGTTTATTTTAAACCTTTACTTGTGTGTATGATGTAGTCACAAAATAAGCTGGGACAATAAATCATCTGACTGTCTTCATGGTTCATGGACCAGCTGATATAGTGGTAACTGATGTTGACTGCCATACTGATATGCCTGGGTTCAAATTCCGAAGAAGACATGGATATTTGAAAGCACATAGTGTCTGTGTATTAAAAGAGGAACACAAAATACATGGCAAGTCAAAAGTCCTCTCAAAAGTTGGTGGTAGAGGAAGAGGAGTGGGAGACTCTCAGACAACCCCCCAAATTGTTCTGCCTTAAAATTGGGGCAGAACTGCTCAGTTACAGCAATGGTACTACACCTGTATGCCCAATGGTGAATTTCTGGTGCCCTGTCAATGTTTACCTGTATCAGTCATCACAGCTCTAGTATTACACCAAATTTAAAGTAGCCTTACAACACACAGTCTGAAAAAATGGCAATAGTTGCAAAGTACAATAAAATACCAATAATCCATTACAATATCACTTTAAGTTATCATTAAACCTCTTTTACAAGTAACCCAGTTATCATTACATATCACTGAAGAATTCAAACTTTGAATGGTATGAATTCACACTTTCTTTTCCTTTCACATTTTAAATTAAAAATTCAATGACATTTGGAAAAAAATACATAAATAAATAAAGTAAACAGAATCAGTTTTCAAATTTTAAATGTTAGGCAGCAAATACAGAATTTCAATATTAAGTTGAAAATTTCACTGCATAATAAATACAATTATACTAATTATATTAATTTAGAATTCCTAAAAATTTTATATTTGAAAGTGAAGACAGCTTTTAGATTTTGCTCACAAGTTTATATTTGAAAAAGGAAACATTATTAAAAACTGATTAAAAAATAAAGTGTTATTATGTAATAACAAATTACTGCATTAAATCAAAGTGCATTATTACTAATTTGAAGGAAAAGGGCATTTAATTTGTTTAAATTAAATTCAAGTACATATGACTGGTAAATTTTTAGAAGGTATTTTCTTATTAAAGTAGCCACTACATAAACTTAGAGAAATATTTAAAAGCTGTATGTTGCAAATTTTCTGATTTAAAGTCTTCAGTGATTACTTAAATAAAAAAGTACCTCTCAAATTTTAAAATAAATAGAATACAAATATATTTAACTTCCCAAATCTTAATGCATATCTAGGTATATATAACACATACAAGCATATATTTTACAAGATTTATAATTATAAATCAGCAATTTTTTTTTTCATTTCAAATGTAGAATATTTTCATCCTAATACAAATACAAAGCAGAGATATTTTATTTTAAAATGTATCAAAAAAGGAAAGAAATATGAAGTAACATTTAAAGCATATTCACCTCCAGTATCTCTGACAACATACAGGGCAAAATCTTCAGGATTATTTACAACTTTGAATTTGTCTAACAACATATTTATGACTTCAGGTGCAGTGACTAAACTTGTCACCCAAACACTCGTAACACTTGCATATGCAGGAGTGAACACACTTGTCTAAAACACAGAAATACATATATACACAATAAAAAGAAATGCTTATATAGAAGTATAAGAAGTTATCCCCCTAAAAAAACAGTTGAATGGAAACACAACAGACCTTTTTTCTCTCTTTAAAATAAACCTCTAACTTTGAAACTATTGCTTTAATAAGCTTTTAAAAGGTTTTTTAATAGAATTTTACACTAGGAACTTTAATTTTATTAACTTTTTTAGCTAGCATAAATGTATCAAATCAAAACTCTGCTGTATTAATAAGTAAAAAAGAACATTTTCAAAAAGATATTTAGGTATATTTAGCAAGTAACTCCGTACTTTTTAGATAATCAAATTCTTAACAACAGTTCAAACCCGTCCTTAAAAAGATAGGATTCAATAATTAAATATTACAGATTTCAAAATAAATTTCAATAAATACAAGAAACTACAGAAATTTCACATCATGATATTTATATTTCTTAGGTTAGTTAGTCTATGATAATAAGCAAAATTAGTCAAACAGGGGGAGAAAAAAAAAACTTCATTAAAACACATACGATTTTTAACACTCTCAAAACTTATCCAAGTTTCTCTACATTATCCAAAACTAATATTTCTATAAAGCGATGTCTTCATCGATCCTGCAGAACAGAAGTCCCCTTTTTACCTCCTTGTACGAAGTAAAGGAAGTACTGAAATCACGAAAAAATCCCCTTTCACAGCTATTGAGTGCAATTTTAATGATGTTTTTGCATGACATCTGTATGTAAAGACTGAATAAAGGACTCTTTTTCCTTAAATGAATTATAAAACTGATTTAAAACTGAATTCTGAAGAGATTTTTTTCATGGCATCTGTACGTACGTATATTTCACATAATTCAAAAACAAGTAGCCTCAGAATGTTGAAATTTTGTATATAGGATTGCTATAACATGCAGTTCTGCACCTCCCTTTTTTGGTTGCTACTGGATGCAACAAAAGTATGTAAATATACCCACTCTGTTACTCGGCTGTGTGAGCTGTTTCTTTTCTTTTCTTTTTTTTTTTTAAATTCCTAGATGTTAATAATTGTACATTTTTTTGCTTTCAGAATGATCGAATTATGTTCTTCTTATCTTCCAGTTAAGTATTTTATACCTTTAGTTACATCACAGGGAGATAAGGAGATCAGCAAGCAGCCCTCCAAACACCGCAAATGATCCCCCCTTCACTACCACAGAAATTTGAAAGATCATAGAAACTACCAAAAAGGGCAAAGCCCCAGCCTTGGATAAACTCAATATAGACTTCATCGAAGAATTGAGAATCGCAAACGAAGACCAACTAGCATATATCTTTAATGCATGCCTTCGAAAAGGCTACTTTCCAGATGCCTGGAAGAATTCTGAGCTTGTTCTTTTCAAAAAAGAGGGCAAATGCAGTAAGTATCCGAACGCATATAGACCTATCTGTCTTCTCTCCGCCTGGGGAAAAGTCCTAGACAAACTAATAATCAGACGTCTCACTTTCCACCTGGAGAAAAGCCACCTCATGAACAAAGCACAATACGGTTTCACAAAGGGAAAAGAGCACCATCGATGCTCTTCACAATCTATAAGAGCAAATACACCATAACAAGCAGTGAGGTCTCCACACATGTGTTATCTCCTTAGACATGGCCTCGGCCTTCAACCAACTCTGGTGGCCAGCCCTCAGGGATCAACTCAAACATCTTCAATGTCCTAAGAATCTGTTTCGGATCATAGGCAATTATCTTCACGATCGTAAAGTCACTTACCAGCGAGACGGGAGTCAGTGTCAATCTCGATTACTACAGAGGCGCACCCCAAGGATCCAATACTGGCCCAATATCCTGGAATCTCATTGTGAATACTGCATTAGATCTTATCACTGACTGGAGCCTCAAACTCAAGCTTAAATTCAGCATCGATAAGACAAAAATGATTACCTTTCCAAAGGGTAATAAACTTGTAAATAGCCCACCCCATATTAAATGGCAGGGCCGTGCACTAAAAAATGAAGTTACTTTAAAATACCTAGGATTCTTCCTTGATAGAAAACTCGCTTGGGTACCGCACTTAACGATGATACGAGATAAAACCTGCAATCTTATTAATAGCCTTAATCGCATTGTCACAGATAAATGGAATCTAAAAGGGAAACTTTTGAAAGAACTATATCTGCGGGGCATTGAAAGGATGATCCTTTATGGCTTCCCCCATCTGGATGACTGGCACAGTTAGGGTTCGTTAGAAACTACTCCAAATTCAACGCATCACCCTTCTCAAGATCAATAAGTGTTTCACTACCACATCCACAGCAGCTCTTCAAATCCTTGCAGGGGTTCCTCCCCTTAGATCTAAAAGCAGAAAATTGAGTGTGGTACTTATAGGTTAGTTCACTTTAAGGACACCTTCCAGTTCGATGACTCCTCATTCATAGACCAGCGCTCCTTAGAAACACATTCCCACTATACTCCCGTCCACCCATTTCTCACGAAAGATATAAAATGGCTTAAACATCTACCAAAAGGACAGGACTTAGAAATCTTTTCTGACAGCTCTAAAGTTTCAGAGCAAGTAGGTGCAGCCTATGTTGCTTTCTACAACAATACAGAAATTCACTCAGCATGGTTCAGACTTAGTGACCGTGCCTCGGTTTTCCAGGCTGAGTTCTTCGCTTGAAAGACAGCTCTCTGGGCAGGCAATACCATTTTTCCATCCATCAGCTTCTACACGGACAGCATGAGCATCCTACAGGCACTGAACAAGAATGGCATACAAGCCTTCCACATCTCTTCATTAAAAGAAGTGCTTATTACCCTTTCTTCTTCCAGGCAAGTATCTCTATACTGGGTACATAGTCATCACGGTACCCAAGGTAACGAAAGGGCTGACCCTTTAGCAAAAGAAGCCACAAGTCACCCCTTCATCACCTCAGAGATACCACTTTCCATAGTCGCTGCCAAACACAAGATCTTTTGCACCTTCATGTCCATCTGGCAAGCTCACTGGGACAACTCAGACATCGGTCAACACACCTACTCCATCTTTCCCGTGGTTTTCACCAAAAGGCTGAAAACAGATTTCTATCTACAACAAGTTTTCATAAATCACGGAAGATTTCCCGCATACCTCAGCAGGTTCTGCCATCAAAATGTAAAATGTGCCTGTGGTGCTTCAGCTTCTTCAGCAGACGTTTCACATTACATCCACAACTGTCCACTCACTTCTCCCATCAGAGCCTTCCTCTTCCTCAGCTTTAGGGATCACATAGCCTCAAAGATCTTCTTCAGGATTACTATGGACAGTGGGACGTCAGAACTATTCTAAGAGAAACATAATCATAACAGATAACCAGGTCTAAGCACCTGACGAAATGTAAAGGCAGCAAGCCTCAACTCATGTATATATGTAAATATCTTTAAGCTAACTAATCCTTTTTGCTAATTTTATACTAACATTCTAAAAAAATTGTAAGTTGGAGCAACCAACAAGAGTAATAACTATTGTTAAATCTGTTTATCTATAATAAGGTTGAAAAGATAAACAACCAAAATAGGTTGCTGCAGTTGTGGCAATAAAAATTTGCCTTATTCTGTTCCAGTTTATATAAAAAGCATCCTAAAGAATATAATTTTGGGTCTTATATCCCTCTTTATCTACCATCAATCATTCAAGAGGACTGTCAAATGGACAAATTAAATGCCTTTATATCACTGGTTTTCATCTTTTTTTGTTCCATGCACCCCTTTCACCATTGCTAGACAAACATGCCCTCCTTCCCCCCCAAAAAAAAATTTACTTAAATTTAGATAATTTTTCATTTGATTTAAAAATTAAACAAGAAAAAGTATTAAAAATTTTAATAAGTACCTAAACTTCAGTAAAAATAGTTTTTTTTTTTTTTTTCTATATTCAGAAAATAAAACTAAAAACTTTAAATAAAAGACTGGCCATATTCCATCCTTGAAACTAAGAAATTGTATCTGGGGGGGGGGATTCCCATCTGTTTGAGAACCCCTGCTGCATATAAAGCTATTATGGTCAAATGTTAATTCATCATTTACAATTCAAACCTGAACTGGTCATTTTGGTAGTATGGTGCTGGAATATTTATCTTTGGAGTATTGCCCTACGTCCACTGTTCATGTCATTTGCATTTTTTGTTTTTAAAATTATTGTGGTAAAAGTTTCTAAACTTTATTGCATGAAAAATCCAATCTTAATTCAAAAGTATTCTATTTAACAGAACCAAAGAAAGTTATAAGTATTTTAAAATCTTATTCAGTTGATGAATATAAAACTTAATCTTAACTTACCAAGCTTCACTTTAAAAAATATATATAATGTGTATACCACATGACTTCCTTGTATGGAATATTAAATTATTTGCATTTTTCCTGCATTTCATTTAAACTTATTGAATTGAACTAAATCTACTTCGTCAATAGCGCATAAACTACAATGGATCGCTAGGTTCACTTAACAGTGTTACATCTCATTCATCTTATAACTCAGAATGCAAAAAAATTATATTATCTGAAGAATTATCTACTTATTGCCATGTGTTTTATACAAATACTATAATAAATCTAAAACCACGTAAAAAAGAAATTAAACAAATAAAAAACAAACTACTTTTTACAGACGATTCAGCGACGCTTACCTAATGCAGATGCACTACTCGTAAACATTCTCCTCTGTTAAAGGTCAGACTGGCGACAATATTTGCTGCTAATATGAAGCACTTATTTCCTCAAATTTCATTAGAGATATATTTATCATTCAATTCATTCAGCTCTCACTTTGCAGCAACATAAAAATACTTAAAACACCAAGTACAGTTAAAACAATTTAAGGAAAACAGTTTTTACAATTAAAATTACAGTGTGTATGCAAAAACAAGCAATTCATCTAGCAGGCAATAAGGCAGATTTTTTTGATGCGCAAAACTAAAAGTTTCCTTTTGGTCCTACTCGGCAAAAAGACACTGAAAGTGCAGAAAGAATTAATTTGCTATTCTGCTAAGTTTCAAATGTAAACAAATATGGCTGCTATGGTAAAACAAATTATTCCTAGCCACAATTAAACAACTTTAAAGTTTTTGATAATTCTACAAATACAAGGTCTACTACAATACAAGGTCTCCGACCAACAATAAACAGAGGCCTTGATTTACCCATGCCTCTTCTTGAGGCTACCCAGCTAGGCAATATAATTGGAAATGGTATTTGCAATAATAAAAGCATATTAATATTCTTGTAGATATCAAAGATAAAAAAAATTTAAAATGCTTAAATTATGCGAAACTTACCTCTCTATTATAAAAATGTCCATTTATAGAGCAACGTCGTCTTAATTTGGACTTTTGGACACGAGGTCGTCTCCTTAGTTGCACTACATTTCCACAATTATCTTTCAGAGTATTATCATTTATAAGAGTGTGGGTGTTGTCTGACCTTAAATTTCTTAAACCACCAGCAGGTAATGTTTTATAATAGGTAGGCTGTAATGAACTTTCATCAGCACTGTCTTTTTCAATGCTTTGGACATCCAGATCAATTTCAGAGAGTGGCACAGAGTCATTCATAGGAAGAGATAACAAAGAATTCAAGAGATTAGGATCTTTTTCAACAAGTGCAGCTTTTTCATCATCAGTCAAAGACTTTACTGAGTCCCTCTGCAAGAAATTTTTGTTTTTCAATATTATATTTCAATTATTAGAAACTATACATTACAGTATTTAAAGGAATCAAGAAAATATAAGTGAAAATATGAAGTTCAACTATGTTTGATTCATTGACTCAGCCTGAAAAATATAACAACAATTGAAAATTACCTTTGTTTAAAATTTTTTTGAAGTAATATTTTTACTGAGTGCATATTTAAAGAATTAGATACTTGGTAAATAAAAATCTTAGCAATTTACATTAAATAACATGATGTGCAAATGATGCTGCATTGCATACAAAACTAAACTGGGATAAAATAAACTCAAAATTAATAATTTGCAAACTGCTGTATAATTTAAAGATTCATAGTCTATATGAAGAAATGTATCTATTTATTAAGCGTAAGCAAGAGTAAGTACCATTTTGATATATAAAATGCCATAATTTGTTACCGAACAATTTCAGTTGAAGTTTAAAACTTGCATTATATTTATTTATTTATTTTTGACATTTTCTAGGCTACTGCCATCTTTTAGAAGATAAATATAACTATTATGAGGAAGGTGGGATTTATATAATTATTCTGGCTCATTCCTAATCAGCTCACACATACACATTCATTGCTGAATTTATTTGCACTGTATATTCATAGATTTAATCTCTAAAATATTATAAACTGTTTAACTGAGTAATTATTTTGAAAGTACTATCACATTACCTGTCCAACCTTATCAAGAATGACCGGGCAAAGCACCATGTCACTAAAGCAGGCAATTCAGAATACAATGAAAATGCATTTTACCTGATAATTCACTAATGATGGTGCATGCATTGCATCAGTTTGAAAATGGAGCATGGAAACCTTTAATGTTTTATTCAAAAAAATTAAATAGCACTCAGAAAAATTACAGTACTTATGACCGCGAGTTACTGGGAATATATCTTGCAATTAAACATATGTTAGAAGGTCACGATTTCAAAATTTTTACGGATCATAAACCACTAGTTTATGCTTTCAGACAAAAGAGAGAAAATGCATCACCAAGACAAATGCACCAATTACAATACATATCTCAATTTTCTACTACAGTCAAAAGTCGTTAATCCGGACTCGTCGGGACTTCGGCGATTCCGGATTATAGATCATCAGTTTAAATCTCCTAAGATGGCATGCAGAAATTATAAAATTAAAAATACGAAACCGTAATTTATGAAATAAAGAACAAATATGATCTAAAGGGTATCAAAATTTACAACAAAAAAAAAAAAAAAAAGCTTAATATTTATTTGTTTACTTTATTAAACATTTCTTTTAATGTAAGTTGTTTAAGTTACTTCGTTTTATGTGATAATACTTTCTCTTTAATTCTATAAACAGACATAAGTTCTTGTTCAGTTACAAAGTTCCGCTGTTCAAGTCCCGTAATTGCTGTGCCGAGAATACCGACTAACATGTCAATCGAAATTTTTTCGTTTTCACTAACCTTCTCTGTCACATTCTTCATGTCTTTATCCATTTTTTTGCAGCCAATTCCACTTTTTGTTTGATGGACATCGAAACATACTTTCGTTTTGTAGATCCTTTGGGAGCTCCAGCATCAGAAATTCTATTTGACATAATCGAAAGTTCAAGTTTACTTTTATAAAATTGCTCTTACAGTCTGCAAAAAATAATAAGCCGGATCCAATTCGAAGATTAAGAAACAATGCAATCATCAACATTAACTGAAATAGATAATTAGATAACTTTAGCTTATACCGTCTGTTATACATAAAACGCGAACGTAAAAACGTATTCTGCGCTTGCGCACACGCGCATTCGTAAAGGTCTTACGCGCATGCGTAAACGCCTATGCACATGTGTCAATGCGGCGCATGCGCAGAAAGTTTTTAGCTTTGAGGTCCGGATTATGGGTGTCCGAATTAACGACTTTTGACTGTAATATATGCCATATTAGTGGAAGTGTAAACATTGTCGCAGATCAGTTATCAAGAATAGCCGATGTCTCTATTTCACTCATTGATTATGATAAAATTGCTGACAAACAAGTTAATGATAAAGAATTACAAGCTCAAAATAAAATGTTAAATTTCAAAATCTTCCATCTGGTAAAAATCTGTAGTGTGATATGTCTTCTTCTATCATTAGACCATTTATACCCAAGCAGTTTAGAATGGATATATTTCAACAAATCCATGGCCTCGCTCATCCAGGAATCAAGTCGACCATTAAAGAAATGACGTCCAAATTTATTTAGCCAAATATCAAAAAGGATATACAAACGTGGAGTCGTGCCTGTATTGGTTGTAAAAAAAATAAGGTTTCACGTAATACAAAGTCTGAATCAGGAACTTATCAGCAGCCTGATGAACGTTTTACTATAGTTCACATGACTTAATAAGTCCTTATTCACCATCTGATAATTTTGTGTATTGCATGAATTGCATTGATTGTTATACTGGCTGCATGGAAGCCATTCCTTTACGTGACATAACAGCAGAAACCATTGCCAGAGCATTTTATGAAAATTGATCACTCGTTTTGGAGTTCCTTACCAAGTTATTACGGATTGTGGAGCACAGTTTACTTCTGAACTATTTCAAACCTTGGCAATTATATGTGGAGTCAAAATTCAACACACAACTTCCTATCATCCACAGTGTAACGACAAAATTGAGAGATTTCATCGAACTTTGAAAGCTGCTATCAAATGTCATATTTCCATTAAGTGGTCCGAATCCATTCCAACAATTCTTGTTTATTTTAGGGCAGCCTTAAAATAAGACTCTGGATATTCCATTGCACAAATGGTTTACAAAAAACAATAAAGCTTCCTGAAGAATTTTTTGATAAATCAACAATTTCTACAACACCTCAAACATTTCTGCATAAATTGCAAAAACAAATGGAACTGTTCAAGCCCTCGCAGTACAGCGAAAAATGATTCCTAAAGTTTTTGTCCATAAAGATCTGAATGTGTGTACTCATGTTTTCCTAAGAACTGAATGAGTCAAACCATTAGAACTTAGTTATGAAGGATCCTTCAAAGTACTTAAAAGAATAGAAAAATACTTCTTGTTACAAATCAAAGGTAAGGAAGTAAACATTTTGATTGACATGGCTGAAGCCAGCCTATTGTTTAACATCAGGTGAGCAAAGGCTGGAACCAGAAACTTCTGATACCCAGCCCAAGACTGTTAAAATCTCAGACCAATAATGAATGACCGAGTCTCACGAACTGCACAACTAATAAAATGTCCTTAACGTTTTAGTAACAATGTTGAATATTTTCCCCAACCTCTATTATTGAATATGTTTAATTGTGATTTATTTATTGGATTTAGTATTTTTAATCTAATGTTAGCTTACGGTACATTACTCCACTACCAGAATCTCTTAAATCGTAACACAGTTACTGGAGGGGGAGTAATGTAGTGGAATATAATTTAATGTTTCTATATAATTATTAAGACTTCCTAAGTGGCAACATGATGTAATGTTTTGAATAATTATTAAGATTCAATGTGTGGCAACAACGAATCGATCTAAAAACGTCGTTACTTGTCGTTTTCCTTGATAATCATTCTGCAAGCCTTATCCTTTAAAAGTTTGTTATATTTTTATGTAAAAAATAAGTATCATGTTGCAAACAAGAATGGAAATTGTAAAAATAAATATACTGCTTCTTTTAAAACCAAAACAAGCATTTATTTCACTTATGAAATGCTCTGGCTGATCACTTTCGATTTCGTTTATTCATCAAATCCACAATATAAAAAAATTAAAATTGAGATCCAAAGGACTTTTTTAAATTAATATTAGCATTTTGATTTACATGCTTTTAATCTTATTTATATATACATATGTGTATATTTTTGTGTATTAAATATATACAAGAGAAAATTAATCTAATATAAGATTTGCTTTCCTATTTAGATAGCTTCTGAAGGTGAATTTCAGTTTATATAAATAGTATTTATTCACAGCAAAATAACATAATTATTTAGAAAGAACAGGACACAGAATTCAATTGGGGAGGGGAATTAAGTTATAAAATTGAATCTACATTTTTCATGTTAAACTAACATGTTGAACAAATATTAATTTAGAAGTCAAACACCAAAAAACACCATTATACTTACAAATTTTCATAGGACTAGTTTTGATGGCTTTACCAAACCATCATTCTCAGAAGCCAAAGTGCAAATGAACAAGATAAGATATAGTAAAAAGATGCACTTTGGCATATTTAACATAATTATTTAGAAATAACAGAAGAACAAAGAATTTAATTGTAAAAAAAAATCAAGTTATAAAATTGAATCTACATTTTTTATGTTAAAATAACATGTTGAACAAATATTAATTTAGAAGTTAAACAACAAAAATCAGCATTATATGTGCAAATATTCACAGGACCAGTTTGATGGTTTTACCGAATCATCATTCTCAGCTGCCAAAGTGCAAATGAGCGAGATAAGAGATAGTGGAAAGATGCACTTTGGCAGCTGAGGATGATGGTTCGGTAAAACTGTCGAAATTAGTCCTGTGAAAATTTGCAAATATAATGTTGATTTTTGTTGTTTGACTTCTAAATTGAACCCAGTGAAAACAATAAAACAAAACGGGGGTAATTTTTTTTTTATCATACGTGGTATATCTTGTAATTTTTATGCATGAGTTCAAAAGAAATGAAAATTTGTTCTAATTCCTGCTGAACTTTAATTTCAACTACATGACATAGATCATGTGAAATTTTAGAAATCATATATTTCTTTCTAAATTACAAGATTTAATGTATTGCAAATGGCATCATGTTAAAATACGATTTTGGAAATTGTGTATTCATAATACAGTTGATAAGTTTTTTCTGTGGTGAGGAAAATCAGTCAGAAGGAATCAATATCTTACTTATTTCATATTAGTACTATTATATGTACATTTTATTCATATATATCACTACTAGCTTGCTCATCAATTTAAATATTTTCATTATATGGTCACTCTTAATTTAGTTACATAACCAACACATACAAATTACATGTAAGGCATATAAAAAATTAAAAATAATATACACTCAAGCTTTGAGATTATCAGACAAGCAATTCATTAAAAACTTATGCCAGTCATTCTGGCAGCCTAAATTCGCTAATGGTGGATTAAATACTTCTATGCTAGTTTATCAAGAATTAATTAAAGTTACATAAAATTAAACATTCTCTGTGGGTTATGACATCATGCTCTACTGGAACTAAATCCCACTGGTGACACTTTTTATTTGTTGAGTAAAATACTCAAGTATCAAGAATAGAAAAATAATATATTTATTCAAAGAAAACAAATTTTAATTAATTATGACAAAATAAAATCTACATCTTTAACACAGTGTAACACACTATAATAAAACATAACATTTTTTGTTATTGTTGCAATAATCAATTTCATTACTAAATTATTTCAGTACTTTTCATTTCATTAAAGAAATAATAAAACACCTATTTTCAAATAAACAAATCTGTTATTAGTAAGTTCATATCGATTTAGCACTCTTGTGAGCAAACTGTTGTTAACTTCTTCCATTTTTTTTTCAGGTTTCTTCCAGTATTCTGGAAGAAATACAACCCTGTCTGTATTACTATTAATGCAATGCAAATATTTGGCAGCATATTCCATAACATTAATTATCCTAAAAACAAACTCAAAAAAGCAAAATAACAATATTTTTCAGCAGTCTATCCCTTATTATGCAAACAATAATTTAAAATTATTTGAAACACATTACGATGGAAAATTCTAAAAGCATACATTTCGGGATTCAGATGATGTTGAAATAAATTGGCAACTGTTTCTTCTCCTCACAGGCATTCTATCGTCATGGTCTTCTTTAAGATGAATTACATTGTTAACACCCCAGTATATTCTCAGAGAGCCCTCAAGTATCAGACGGCCATTGCGCTAAAAACATCAAATAATTCTGAGTAAATGTTATTGTTTAAATTCTGCAGCACTTTTCCGTTATTGGGACTAGATTCAGGAATGTATGTATGAATGTAATATATGTGTAAGTGTATACATATATGTATATCACACACATTCATACATACATGCACACATAAATACATACATGAAATTTCTGAATCTGCTGCTGGTAACAGAAAATTACCAACTCTATACATATGCAGAAATAAATTCACTAATAATCACTTGGATCGTGCAAAAAATTAAAGTATATTTATTATAAAATTAAACAAAAGTCAACCTTAGATTAGCAACTGGAAATATGAGATTAAAATCCCTTGAAATTGTCTACTTACAATACAAGTAATGCTTTTCAGTCATAAAGGATCTCAAAATTCTCATTGTTATCCCATTTCCCTCTTCTAATAATTATAAAATTTCTAGATTTCCAATAAGTTTAATTCACCATTTATTTTATGTTTCATTAATAAAATTTGGTGCTCAGTTCTCAAAATCTATATATCAAACTTTGAATCTTAGGGAATTTGGAAGTCTGCCCATGTGATTTAACACATATTAACCAAGATCAGATTTAAAAACATCAAACATCCAAGTATGCAAATATTAATGTCAAAAAAGAAGTGAAAATATTCCATTGTCAATCAGTGTTGATTATTTTAATAATGGTTTCAATAAAATTACAGAGGATGTTCACACATTTTTGTAATGATTTTGCAAAGATTTATATATAAACAAACATTAGAATTTTATTTCCTAATATGTTCAGTCTGAGAGCACTTTTGTTGAACCATCATATTACATCTTGATTTCCCATATAAGTCTTTTCCTTAAAACATCAATGTTAATTTTATTCCACTCCTCTTTCGCAATCTTCCAGAGTCCATCCAATGTTTTGGGATGCTGGTTAGAAAGAGCTTGTTTCAAAAGTCCAAATGCACAGTAATCCATAGGAGATACATCAGGGAACTTGAGTGAGATGCATTTAAAGGGAATAGCTTCAATTCCGGTTTCATTTCTCATTTTTTCAAAAAATAGAGCAGCAGATTTAGAGGTATGGCTTTCGAGCTTTATCCTAGTGGAATTTAACAGAGTGAAGATTATTTGGATAAAGAGATGCAATTTCTTTTTTAATAATAGGGATCAAAACATACTTCTGGTAATAATTCGAATAATTTTAACATTTTTTCTATTTTCCTTATTTTAAGTTTTCTGTTATAAGAAAATCCAGTAATATCCATAAAACCTTTAGACAAACTTTCATTGTTTTCTCTGAACCAATATATTAAGTCTTTTCTCCGCTTGTTTTGGTAGTAAATTGATCTTTTTATATTGCAAGCAGATAAAAACATCCAAGCCTCATCAGTTGTAACTATATATTTCCATTTTTCAACTGCCAAATAATTTTCATACAGCAATCTGCATAGTCTTATGCTGACAAAAATGGTTCGCCATTAGGCGATGAACATCGTGTTTTTTTGTTTTGATTAGTTTTAAATCAGATTTTATAGTTTTGTTCACAGTTCGTATAGAGATATTTAAAGATTTTGCAATAGCTCTTTGGGGGGGGGGCTGGATTTTCCTTTAAAACATTGATGAAATGCGACATTAAATTTAATAAGAGCTGTACATACATACCTTTGTTGGGTTTGCATTTTTTTGCCTTTTTCTCGGTCAGAGTTAAACTTTGACATTCCTTTCCTTTCATACTAATTATGTCACTTATTTTACATGTTGAAATATTAAAACCATGTTTTTCACATCATTTTTTAATAACAGTGCAAAAATATAGCCTTTGATACACTGCTTATTTTTCAGCAACTTTTAAAGAAAAAAATATTTTTAATGCTGCAGACAATAATTAAATCTTATTCCAATTTGACGCCTGTCCTGTTTGTATTTTAAAATTAATATTTAAATTCATGGAGAAAATCAAAATCGTTACAAAAATGTGTGAACATCCTCTGTAAATAAATAACACTTTTTAGCTATTCGAGATGTTTTCCAGATTTAAGGAAACCAGCTATTGATTTTTATACAAATCCTGTTCTTTTGAAAGTTTTTAAGAGTAAATTTAGGATATTTTACTCTTTTCTTTTTCCCAACCACTGCTATAATTGCTGTTGCACTACAGCCTATCACAGGCCAACGCCATCTTAACAAGCTCACTCCAACAGATCTGATTAGTTGCTAAGGTCTGCCCTGATTGATTTTTAGATCTGCCTCCAGTCTGTCCATCTTGTGTGAGGTCTTCCTCTTTTGCTGGCAACCTCTACACTTGCAAAGGTCATCTTTTTAACAGCATTCAAATTTTCATATCTAAAAATATTGCCAAGCTACCTGATACGATAAAATTTGATGACTTGGACAATATTAGGTTATTTGTATTTTCTATATATATCACAGCTAAACAGAATTCTGCATCTATTATTTTCTCTAGGTTATTTTTTGCAGTATTTTTCTTTCAAAGATTAGAAGGTTATAATCGCTCTTCCTTTTTATTTATTGAAGTTGCACACTATGGCAAAATGGAACAGAATATTTTTACCCCACAAAACTATGATTTATATTACTTCAAATTACACAGATAGTTTTTGTAAAACTGTTGCCAAGCTATGACAGAATTTTGTTTAGTTTTGTAATTTAAATTAGTATACTTCCATTTTGTGTCACTATCACTATTTACGTAAAATTTGGGTTCGGATTTGAATCCTGAAGAAGGCATCAAAGTTTGTAAATGTATAATATTATTAGAACATGGGTACTTAATATACTGCTGAGCTGTAAATCATCCTAAGAGATAAGGGATAAGGGAAAAAGAGACAGAAAATCCTAGGATATGTCCTCTGGCATGTTCTCCTAAAAACGGGGCCAGAACTTCCCTTCTCTCACAAGAGAGATGAGAAAATGTTAAGTGCAATTCAGTTGCTCTACGTGGTGTACTAAGGTAATGCTTTCAATGACAAGACAGCAAAATGAGCAATGCGTTTTTCTATTCCCAATGAATCCTTAATTAGCAAAGGGCCTGGCTGCTGAAAAACATAACTGATGTTTTTTATGTAGACAGATAATTCAGGTGTGCAGCGTCTAAATTAAAACTGATATTTATTTACATGGATACTTTTATAATATGACTGATATTTACATTTTCTTAATGTAGATGAAAAATTACAAAATAAGCAACCAGCCCTCTCTCAAAAAAATAAAAATTGTTCACGATCTCAAATAAAGTTTTAGAGTAGCTGCCAGACTCTTCCTGCTAAAAAAAAAAAAAAGTAAAAAAAAAAAAAAAAAAAAAAAAAAAAAAAAAAAAAAAAAAAAAAAAAAAAAAAAAGAAAAAAAAAAAAAACAAAAAAAAAACAAAAAAAAAAAAAAAAAAAAAAAAAAAAAAAAAAAAAAAAAAAAAAAAAAAAAAAAAAAAACAAAAAAAAAAAACAAAAAAAAAAAAAAAAAAACAAAAAAAAAAAAAAAAAAAAAAAAAAAAAAAAAACAAAAAAAAAAAAAAAAAAAAAAAAAAAAAAAAAAAACAAAAAAAAAAAAAAAAAAAAAAAAAAAAAAAAAAAAAAAAAAAAGAGGAAGAAGAAGATTTGAGAGAGAAAGATATATTATATAAAAAAATTAATATATAAAAAAGTTTTTTATAGCAGTTGGCTTATTTATAATGTTATTCAAATCAAAGATTAGAAGGAAAAGTTTTAAAGCTACAGATGTGACAGCTTTTCAACCTTCTAAATTCAATGAATAGAAAAGTTTAAAAAACACTTCTTATATGATTTGCCTTGTCTGTATCTAACATTTCTCAACCTCTTAATAGCAAAGTGAAGGAAAAAATAGTAAGTGTTGATTTACTTCAGCATACAGCAAGCAACTTATTCATAAGAAAATGCTTGGTTATTTGTTAAAGTAAAACATGAAGCCGCCGAGGATGTAATCATCTTCATACCAGTTCAGACAGCTCATTATTATAATTCAAAATGGAAGATAGTAACTTAAACAGCGCCCCTCCCAATTTTTTTTTGTTTTGTTTTTTGTCTTAGCAAAATAATATATTAAAATAACTCTTACACTTATAAAAACCCTATAATAATAACAAATTGGAAGCTTTTTCAAACTGTTTTTTGCATGAGAACAAATGTTAGTATAACAATAAGAAATCTGTTTGCAGAATAGTTCAGTAAAATTTCAAGAAATGGACTTGAAAATTTCTCAGAGGATAGCTTTCTCAGATAAGATTATGGAAGACAATAGAATCATTTAATTATGTACAGATAATAAGCAAATGCTGAAATTAGCATGATTAGTGAAAATTATAGCTGGATTTTTAATGAATTTGACTTATAGGAATTATTTATTACTACTTACAGACATATTCGATTGGATCAAACAAAACAAAAATAAATAAACAAATAAAAACACTGCTGGCCATTAAAATTGCCATCAATGGGATATGCAAATGATTAGTATTTCAGCCCATTTAGATGGTACAGGAGGGAGAAATGACATTTGAAGATCTGCATAAAAGAAAAGTTGAGTAGTGGATTTCTGTTTCGGAAAGTGCTTTGTAAGGTCGGAGTTTGCTCAGAATATCATATTATGTCTCGAATAATAAGAAATGCTTATTAGCAAGTGTCGGAATGTGATAGAGGCAGGATTGCTACCTATCGAAAGCGTGGATTATCACTCCGTGATATCACTGTCGCACTGGTCAACATCCAACCAGTGTCATGCGAATATGGAATCAATGGGTTTCTGAGGGTCATATTGAATGGTATGCAGGATCTAAATGCCCACCTAGCAGGTGAAACCTGCCATAAGGCTATGAGAAGACAGGCCAAGCCACAAATCATAACAAAATAAAAAGTTAACATAATGGAAAATAACAAACTTAATAAACATCTGGTAATCCGTTCAGATCATACAATTACACACACATAAAAACTATAAAAAAAAACAGTTATTAAAAAGTAAAGCAGATACAT